GCCACAGCCTGGAAGCGAGTCTGGTCCGGTAGCCCGACCTCAACTCAGAGATGGGGGTGGCCCAAAAGTCTAGTCCAGGTAGACGCCAATCCGTAACATCGAGGCAGAGTAAAACCCATCTCTCCACAGAGGAGAGACTGTGGCTCCGCCACCTCCTTGTGTCTGCTTCCTTCATCTCTGATCCAGAGGGAGCTGACTAAAGAACTTAATTAACCTCCCCTCTTCTGTCCACCCCAGCACCCTCAACAGAGACCAGACGCGGCCGTGAACGTCAGGGGCGGAGGGGAGGTCCAGGGCCCGGCCAGCCCCGGCCTCGCTGTGGACTCAGATGTGGACATGGGCCAGTGTCGTCACAGAATTCAGCGTGGGCTGCACAGAGGAAGCGGAGCCTCCACAGGCCACGGCCGATGCTCCAGGACTCCTGCCTGAGCTAGCGTGCTGGCCACGGCAGGGAGGAGCTCTCCACCCACTCCATAAATAGTGGTGTGTGGCTCAGACCGGCCAGCCAGGGGGAGGGACCCCACCGAGCCCGGGCAGTGTGCAGAGCTCAGACAGGAAGAGCAGTTTTCCCAACGAAACCCATCTCTACACGTGTCATTTTCACAGTCAGGCACAAAAAGCACAGACGTGACGATCTTCACGGGAGCTGGAGACTCCGCAGCTCCTCTCCCCCGTGCCAGGAGGTCCTGGCCGGCCCTCTGCCATGTGAGCTGGGCGGAGGGCAGCGCCGCCCCCGGGGGTGGGCGTGAGCTCCCAGGGCTGAGGTCTCTGCTGGGGTCCTGGGCCGCCCACCTGCTCCCCCTGCCCAGACACTCGACCTGTGCCACTCTCCACCTCTGCCTCCGTTCCGCCCGAGATCAGACAACGCCAACGCCTCTCCTCGCGGTCCTGCGGCTCAGGAGTGGGCCCGGTGTCCTGGCTGAAGCCGCCCGGCCGGTGTCAGCACACTGTACTCCCGTCTGCCGGGGCTCAGGACGGGCCCCGCTTTCCCACTGGCCGTCAGCTGGGGCCTTTCGACCTTCCAGGGACCACGTGCACGCCCCGTCTGCACCGCTCCTCTGTTCTCAAGGCCCGTGAGAGAGCTGTTCCTCTCAAAGGCCCGCGCTCTCCTTCTGCCGGCTCATCTCTCTGGAGCTGGGACTGGCTCTCATACTGGAAGGATTTGTGTGATGACACTGGGCGGCTGAGCCCGCGCTCTCCCTCTGTTAGTCCACGGCACTGAGCACAAAGCCCCCACCTCAGGAGAGGTGACATGGTCACAGGTTCCAGGAATAGGAGTCTGTGGTAGACACCTGTAGAAACCGTTATTCTACTGACTTGAGGTTTTCCCCACCCATTTCCCCACATGAGACTAACTCAGGAGCTCCATTACAAACAGCAAGAGAGTCAGGCACTGCTGGCTCAGGTCTACAAGCCTAGCAATTCAGGAAGCTGAGATCTAGAGAATCAAGGCTTGAATCCAAATAGGATAAAAAAAAGTCCAAAAAACCCATCTCTAAATAACCAGCAAAAAGACAAACTGGAAGCATGGCTTAATGGAAGAACATCAGCGAAGCAAACAAGACAGGCAAAGAAAGGCCTTACGTTCAGACTCTGAACAACAGAGACCGACAGAGAGAAAAAGAGAATGAATTAAGTTCCCAGAAAAAAAAATACTTATATAGAGAATTGAAAATGTTAATTACGACGATCCATTCACTATCCAGTGTTGACATGTATCACATTACCACACTAGCCCATAAACACGTGCAATTTTATACAATTTAAGCAGTTGGATAAAAGCACTCACGGTTCCCTATCAGCGTCTGCAACAGCTGTGAGGCCTGTGGAGAGCAGGAGCACAAGCCTGGTGCGGCACAGTTTCTCACAAAATGCTGACGGTTTGCAGTAACAATGGAAAGACTATTTTAAAATGTTGCTCCTCTACAAAACAAAGCAACCAAAAACCTGACAGGATGAGTGGCGGTCTACATAGGGAGACATGTGGTCCACCAGTGCTGTGTTAGCAAGAAAGTCAAGCCGGATGCTGGTGGCTCACACCTGTAGTCCTAACTATCATGAGGCTGAGCTCTGAGGATCAAGGTTTGAAGCCAGCCTGGGCAGAAACCTCTCCAGGAGATTCTTATCTCCAGTTAAACCACTCAAAAACCAGAAGTGGCACTATGGCTTGAAGTGGTAGAGCACTAGCCTTGAGCAAAGAGCTCAGGGACAGCACCGAGGCGAGTTCAAGCCTCTTGAGCAGCAACAAAAAGGAAATAAAAAAGGTCTGTCATAAGCAACTGAACACTCCAAATAATGAGCTTGTTAGACAGGAACCCAAACTGACCAGCTTTTGCCAAACCCACCCCATCCCCTCCTGTAGTGTGCACATTTAGGAAGAAAAGGTCAGTTACCAACAGAATACTCTTCATAATCCCCAGGTGCGCACAAAAGTAAAGTTGAAGAAATCCATTTGCTGGTTAGCAATGCACACACTATTAACTCACAGAGCACTGCAATAAATTTAAGTAAATTCTGCAGTGAATTCCCCATCAGGTGGAAACCAAGCATGAAAAATTTAATTCCTAAGAGGAAGCTTTTAATAAAGTCATGTACAGCTGAAAATGAAGTCGCTAATGAAATTATTTGAAAGTATTATGTCTGGAAAGTTCACACAACCAGGAAAACTGTTCTCTGGAAGTGAGGTGAATAACTAACCACCAAGAGCTGGAGAGACACACCACCTGAAAGCCCTGCCAGCCCCACCAAACCCAGCCCCCCACACCAGCCCCCCACACCAGCCCCCGACACAAGAGCAGGAGAGACACACCACCTGAAAGCCCTGCCAGCCCCACCAAACCCAGCCCCCCACACCAGCCCCAACCCCCCACACACATGCACACCTACACGCTGTTCACACCCGTGAACACACACACTCACACCTACACGCTGTTCACACTTGTGAACACACACTCACACCTACACGCTGTTCACACTTGTGAGCACACACACACACCTACATGCTGTTCACACTTGTGAACACACACACTCACACCTACATGCCGTTCACACCTGTGAACCGCCAGGTGATGACCTGAAGCGACCCAGAGAGACCAACGGTGTGCAAGCCCCAAGCTTGTACAGGCAATGCTGGAAGGTTCTCCCTGAGCTGCAGCGCTCATGTCCCCTGCAGCGCTCATGTCCCCCCTGCTCATGTCCCCCCTGCTCATGTCCCCCCTGCTCATGTCCCCTGCAGCGCTCATGTCCCCCCTGCTCATGTCCCCCCTGCTCATGTTCATGTCCCCTGCAGCGCTTGTGTCCCCCCTGCTCATGTCCCCCCTGCTCATGTCCCCTGCAGTGCTCATGTCCCCTGCTCATGTCCCCCCTGCTCATGTCCCCTGCAGCGCTCATGTCTCTCCCCCTCCCCCCAGCTCCCAGACTCCAGGGCGCAGGCGCCTCGGCTCAGGCCAAGCTCCGACTTGGGTCCCGCGGGCTCTCAAGGCTCGAGTTACACGGAGGTCTTCCTGGGGTCAGCTGCCTCAGTGCGCCTCCTCCAGGGACAGGCCGGCCTGGGACCAAGGGCGAGGGGCGCTGCTCGGGAGGGAGCAGGGACGCGGCCCCAGGGCGCGGAAGCCGGTCACCTTCGCACCTCCTCGGCCTGGGAGTGGGGCATTGTCCCAGGCCAATGGGAAAAGCTCTTACACTTTACCATTGGCAGTGTCCTGGACGCAGTGATTGGCTCAAGGAAGGTCACGAGGTTCCAGTCGTCCAATGGAGTGCCAGGGCCGCCCAGCTGGCTCCAGGGCGCCGGCGCTGGGCCTCCCACGCTGGGCCTCGCGGAGCCGGCCTGCCGGGAAGCC